GCACCGAAGTGCTCCAGAGCGTGGCCGACGAAGCCAGCAACGCCAACCGCGGCTCGACGCTGGCGCTGGCCGTGGTGGTCGCCATCGGGGCTCGGACCACCAAGGGGAGACTGATCCGAAGCCTGGCGAAAGGAACGAAGGGAACGAAGGGAACGAAGGGAACGAAGGGAACCACCAGAGGCATGGCATCATGGGAAAATCATGGGGAAATGTCTTATACATGGAGATTTAAGCCACAAACATAGAGATTTCACCGGCAAAATTCGGAATTTGAGGATTTTAGAAGCAGTTCAGCTGGAACATCCCGGAAGTAAATGGAGGTTCAAAAAGCGAAAATCATCAATGATGGATATGAATCTTGATGAAGGGTGACCTCCCAGGCGTGGTACCGATTTATTGGAGATACAATATATAGAGTCTATATGTAAGGGGATATATATATATTATACATATATCATATATCATATATCATATATCATATATCATATATCATATATATATATATGTATATATATACATATGTATATCCCCAAGATATGGTGTTAGATGGCAGAGGACCTCCAGTTTAGGTATCTGAAATCGAAAAAAATCGCCGCCACAACATGAGGATTGGTCCAACAAAAATGGTGGGGCGTTGATTGATAAAAAATCGTCAAACACTGGGATTTTATCTCAAAAATGGTGTTCTTTTTGTGGGGATTTCGGCAGTTACAGTATTTTTCATGAGATGTTTTACGGGGATAATGTGGATTTTTGTGAATCTGAGGTGGAACCTTCAAAACATATCAAGCAATGGGGTTTTAACTTTCCGGGGGTTCGGAAGATGCTAAAAGTTGCGGACATGAGATGAGTTTGCCAACGGAGAAACATTTCTCAACCTCAAAAATGTTAGGTGTTTTGAAGGTTTGAATGGTTGGTTGTTGGTAGGTGGATGAAATACCTCTAGATGTTTTGGGTGATTCAATTTGGGGACATTTGATTCCCCTTGGCAGACACCTGGTATTCACGGTAAGGGCTCGAACAAAACAGTGCCAGGAGGATTAGTCATGTGGTAAACCCAATAACCATCCTGATTACTACCACAACTGAGTGGCATCATGAAACTATCAATGCCAGTTGTTTTTGGCATTGGGTTTTTGACATTTTTGCACATGATGGATGTCAAACCCAAGCAAAAGCCTTTACAGAAATTTTTCATCATGTCATTCTGGTGTTTTGACAGAACTCACATGAGAATTTTGTTCAAAACCCCTGTTGATGATTCGTTCAGAGATTAGTTCGATGATTTTCCTAACTATAAAAAAACTCCATGTAGTTCTGGGAAAGTAACCCGTCAATCATGAACCAATCATTGGGGTTCCATGTATATATGTGTATATATATATAATTATATATATTTGTTTATGTTCAATATATATATATACATATGTATATACATATTTATACATACTGTATTGGGTTTCCAAGCATCAACCAATCATAAACAGAAACTAATCATCAATCAATCATCAAACAATATATACAAATATACATATAATATACATTTAATATACATATAGTATACATATAATATACACATAATGTACATATTATATACATATCATATACATATAATATGCATATAATATAAATATACTATACATATAATATACATATAATATACGAATCATATACGAATAATATACATATAATATACATATAATATACATATAATATACATATAATGTACATATAATGTACATATAATATACATATCATATACATATAATATACATATAATATACATATAATATACATATAACATACATATAATATACATATAATATACATGTAATATACATATAATATACATACGATATACATATAACATACATATAACATACATACATACATACACACATATATATATATATAGTAGGGATTCCAACCATTCCAACCTTTGAAAAATCGAACAAATCGTGACTTTCCGGCAGCGAGGAATGGTTCTCTATCCAGTGCCCTGGACGACGTCCACGATGTCCGGTCATCTGGGACGGTCCTATGGGTAAAACCATGCCATTTTTACCACCCTAATGACTGGGAATGGTCAACATACCACCCATAAATTAATGCTGATAACTGGGGGATGGTCAACATGGCATTGTTTTACCCACTAACTATGGAAAAAAAAAAACATTTTTTGATGGGCAAATCATGGATGTAAATGGATGTCACTAAATGGCAATTTTCAATAGCAAAACTGGTTGGTGGTTTGGAACATGAATTTTATGACTTTCCATATATTGGGAATAATGATCTCAACTGACTTTCAAATATTTTTCAGAGGGGTAGGTCCACCACCAACCAGAAAAAGTAATAGTTTACCAGAGGGTCAAAAAAGCAAGCCCTTCAACAATAGGGATGGTATTCGGGGAACAAAACATCATTGATAATGGGATAACAATGATCCTAATATTAATCCCAATATTAATCCCAGCACTCATATTGAACACACCCAATCATGTGGTTTCATCCCCTACTTTTTACCATGGTTTCTGGGGGATGTTTGAAATTAGGGAGATGGGACTAGCCATCTTCATAGGGAAAAAATGTTCATCCATGTTTTTCGTTTGGGGGGTATACTATACTGTTTTCAAACCCGATAGATACAATTATCTGGGTACTGAATATTCTAACGACCTCACTGTTCTCACTGGCATCATGGTTAGGACTGGGGTTTGCCTATCCCAAAATAGGCAAAGCTTTCAGGTTAGTGAATCATTTTAATTTTTCTAGTTAGATTTATAGAAAATGCCATTTATCCTCCATTTCTGGATAATTTTCCCATTCAGGCACCATCAATTTGTACTTGGGTTCAGCACTTACCAATGTGGACCTTCCAGCGCTCTCTAGAAAGGCGAACATTTCAAGACTTTGCAAGTCAAGATTTTGACTGATGTGATGTATGCGCAAGTTGTTTTTCGAGTCATTTGACCATAGCCATTTGATCTGGTAAACCTGCCATAACTCTCCCTCCTGGCACCGACCTCTGAAAGAAGCTAGCCAGATGCTCGCCATCAATTAATCATGGCTCGAAAATTTCCCATGGTAATATTGGGATAATATTAGGATCATTGTTATTCCATGGTAATGGTAATATTATGGATCCCATGGTAATATCCCAATGTTTCTATATGGTTGAAAATTAATTCCATGATCTTCCCATGTTTACATATCCAGTGCGGGGATTTCCAATGGTAATGACACTGGCTGTCGCCAAGGCTTTGGTGAAGTTCAAATACACTGAGCAGCTGCCAGTGGTCTATGCATTTATGACGTTGTGGGTCCCTGGGATTTCCGTGGTATTTTTTTTGGATCGGTATTCTCGGTGGTGCATGGGGGAAGTGCGAAAGTTGGTTTATTTTCCCAACAAAAAAACGACATATCTACCAGGTCTACCCAATTCTTGACTTAGTTCTGTCCACCAACTCGCTTATATCACACATCGACGATCATTTCCCGTTGTGTAAGTTGGTATAAACCCAATTGGTATTGGAGTTATGTCAACCAACTTCGCTGGGGCACCTGGGCGGTGATGGTCGGGATTGGGGGTGTCCATCCCCGCTATGGCTTGGTGAATTTCCGAAAAATTGGGAGGTTTCCGATTCGTCATGGGGGTACCCCCAGTTATCATCCATTTATAGATCTGGGTAAATTTGATCACGACCTCACTGTTCTCCCGAACCCTGGAATCATGGTTTATTTGAGGGGAATCATCCCCAAATGGCCGAACTATTCAGGTTAGTGAATTATTATAATTTACCCAGATAGATGGATTTTCCATGAAACAAACCATCTAGCGTTTTTGGGGACCCCGGGTAGGCGCTCGGGAAACCCACCCATTGAATCCGGATGAACCGCCGCCAGATCGGAGGTCCGAAGGGTCGTCAAGCAATGTAGATTTGGTATGATTTGGTGACTCCAGACCAGCTCCCAGTCGTGTTGGTGAATTTGGATCCAAGTTTGGACAACCGTAAAGCTTTCTGAAAAAAATGAGGAGAAACATATTCAACCATATAGAAACACATATAAACATATGATTTACCCAACGTAGAGCCTGCCAGATGCTTGGAAGACTATCGACCTGTGGATTTTTCAGCGATTGTCAGGGTCGAACTGCTAGTTGAGGGGGTGATGAGTAATAACGGTCAACCCAGCATGGGACATGCCCCAGTTAGATCAATTGTTTTTTCAATCACTTTGAAATCAACCAAGTAGATAGATTAATGTTAAAGTCCATTCATATTTGTGTATATATATATATATACAGTATTCATATTCCATCATATTCCATCATATTCCATCATATTCCATCAATCAATTCCATTCATCTGGGGGGGGGCGTGGAATATTTTTTCTTTGTGAAAACCACCACCGTTGCGGTGCTTCCGCGGTCCGTCCAGGCGACGATTTGTTTCATCGCCACGATGACCTTCCAGGGACAAGGATGGGTCAATGGTTTCTTCGTAGGCGCGGGAAGAGAAGGTCACCTGGTGATGGAGAATCCCATGGGTACACAGGACTTAGACATGTATAGTATATATATATATATCTACTTGCATATATATAGTCATATATATATGTATATATATTATACATCAAACTTTGATACCCACCATTTAAGTAATTGCAATCATTTGATTCGTCGCTTTTCACCACACCACTTGGATGATTTGGGGGTATCCCCATGACTAGCCGGAAACCTCCATACTTGGAGGGTGCATCCCATTTACTGTAGTAAACCCAGTTGGATTAATGGAATATCCCCACTTACATATATATATACATATATATATATACATATATATATACATATATATACACACATATATATACACATATATATATATACATATATATACATATATATACATATATATACATATATATATACATATATATACATATATATATATATACACATATGTCTATATATATATACACATACATATAACTTGATCAACATTTACAAACCACATCTACTGGGATGCACATCCTGGCCGCCTTCCAGGGATTTCCTTCCTGACGCAGTCGATGAATCCCATGATGGTCGCTGGGACCGATGGTTGCGAAATCCTGCAGGTGGTAGATGGATGTAGATTCATTGGATTGGTATAGAAAATTTACAGGAACCCCCCTATATTTACAAGAAAATCCCCAAATACGGGCCCCATTTTGCCACGTTGCTAGAAATACAGTACTTTTGGAACATTATTGTTTGTATATCATTTTTTTCCAAATGTTGATCAAATCTATACTCGAAGACCCTTAATTACATCACGTTCCTTAGAATCGTGAGCACATTAACACGTATAACTTTAAGCACAAGTCATGATATTTCCTTGACGAATCTCTTGTTCTTCCTTCAAGCTATGAAGGCCATTTGGGGGCATTTCATGGTAAAAACTATGGTTTCCTGTAGATTTTCCCCCTTAAACCAATCCAATGATTGATGGTCGAAAATCCCATGTTTGACAGCGTGAGTTTCCGAGAGTTACCATCTTGATGTGAGAATCTTGACAAGCAGGCTGAATCTATGCCAGTATTTCATGAATTTTCTTTGTTGTTCATTATATATAGTTGATCCCTGATATCCACCTTAGGCACAAGTGCTTCTATAGGCCGTATCTTCATAAGCTTTCAATCCCTAGAGATGGGAAAAAGTTTCGGAAATAACATGACACTCTGCACCAAAAAAGCATGATTTGACCAACAAAAAAGCACTGGACACATCATTTTAGCCCACCCCACATCCGCAAAATTCAGGATGTCAATTTGATTTGGCACTAAAGATTGAACTAACATCGTATACCCTCTGGTTATTTAACATAGCCATGGAAAATAGCTCATTTATAGACGATTTTCCCATCTAGAAACCTCCATTTATAAGGGATTTTCCATGGCGAACTGTTAGTCATAACCAGATGGTATATCCAATGGTTAGTACTATTGTTAATATGGCTAATACTGTTACTTAGATTTACTTAGATGGCTTACCTATTAATAGCATGGGTGGATCTTTCCATGGCTATGTCTGTTAGTCTGGCAGCGAGGCGGTCTCCTTCACGTTGGGCCAAAGTGCTGCTGCTCTGCGGCTGAAGGAGAAAAACATCAGCTGTTTGAACATTGGCAGGCGCGGTTTCTGAGGGAAGAACTGGGATGAGAACTGGGATTTCAGGACGAAAAACATAAATGATTGTAAATTTAGTGGTGATGCGTAAAATTATCATGGTGATTCATTTTTTGGCGATATGTTTTAAGGTGATTTAATGAAAATCATGAGGTTGTTTTAAGGTGATTTAATGTGATTCACTGGGATATATATATATATACTGTAATCAACAATTAGTCACTGGAAACATACCGTAGCTATGGATTCTTAAAAGGTAATTCATCGAACGAGTTGTTACTTGGTGGCAAACAAATCCAGGTTCATCGTGTTTTTTTTGTTTCATGCTAGTTCACCCCAGTTTTAATTGGATGAAGTATGTTCATAACTACCCTCTGGTAATTTGACGTAGCTATTGAACATGGCCCATTTATAGTTGATTTACCTAAAAAAATGGTGATTTTCCATAGTTATGTTAAATTACCAGAGGGTAACGATAACATACTATAACTATGTTCACAGCTAACTATAGCTCAGTTAGTTCACCCCAATTACAACCAACTAAGATTGAACTGACATAACTGGTTGGTGGTTTGGAACATTTTTTATTTTCCATTTCATATATGGGATGTCATCCTTCCCATTGACGAACCTATATTTTTCAAGATACTTAAAACCACCAACCAGATAAGTTGGCTTACAAAAACACCACTGGTTGGTGGTTTGGAACATGAATTCATTTTTCCATATATTAGGTTTTATCATCCCAACTGACTTTCATATTTTTCAGAGGGGTAGGTCAACCACCAACCAGACACTCACTTCCCATTGGTTCCCATTGGGATGGGCGGACCATGGCCCTGGCTGAGGATTCCCATTGCGGGCAAGATCAGCACCATGGTCTTCGACAAGACGGGCACCATTACCCATGGAGGTCGGGGCCCCGGGGGCTGATGACGGCTGATGACTTCACCCTGGGGGATAAAAAACCAACAACCACAGGGGGGAGTTAATTTTTGATTTAACCACGTTCAGAACGTTGGTAAAATGATGTAAGATGCTGATGAGATACCATGAGATAAAGATTTTTTCATGAATCGATAAATGCCGGATTAAACATGATTATATCAGACAAAACGGAGGTAAAATGGTGATATAATGACGATTTAAATCGTGTAATAATCTAAAAATGGAGGATTCCACATGATTTAGCAAACAAATGTGGTGGTTTAATGGTGATATACTGAAGGTTAAATCGTGAACATAATCTATAAAAGGAGGATTCAACGTAACTTAGCAAACAAACACGGTGGCATAATGATGATATATAGGGGATTAAATCGTGAAAATAATCTATAAAGGGAGAATTCAACATGATTTAGCAAACACAAATGGTACAATGGTGATATTATGAAATATCATGAGATAGATCTGGATGAAATTGATCACAACCTCACATCGTTTTCCGAACCCCTGGAATGATGGGAATTGGATTGGTGTAACTATCCAAACATGGCCCAACGTTTGAGGTCAATGAATTACTAAGATGACCACGATATGACTTATACTTAGATGAAGTAAATTTAGATGACCTGTTTATTATACTGGTTGGTGGTTTGGAACATGAATTTTATTTTCCATATATTGGGAATGTCATAATGTCATCATCCCAATTGACGAAGTCATATTTTTCCAGATGGTTATTGCACCACCAACCAGATGGTATAGATGTATAGTACTATCCAATGGTACTAAGTAACAGTACTAGCCATATTAATCATAGTACTAACCATTGGATATAACTATTGTTATTTAACATAGCCATGGAAAATCACCATGTTTAATAGGTAAACCATCTATAAATGGACCATTTTCCATGGCTATGTTAAATAACCAGAGGGTAACTATGGTTAATATGGCCAAAAAACCTGATTTAGAGACTGAGATGGGTGATCTACCAATCTGATGGACTTCATGGGGAGTTGATACATCTCCAAGTTACCTGATGACTTGAAACAAAGCCCAAGTTGGTTGATCAATTCATCAGAACTTCCCCAGTGTTTCATGGCCATATGTTGGGTATATCTCCCTGGTTTTTTCGGGGGCTTGAGAGTCATGACAGCGGAGGATGACCAATTTTTGACGTAGATTTCTTACATGACCCAAGAAGGTTGGTTCTTGGCATATAAGGATTTCTCTGGTTGAGTGATGTTTATTTTTCCCACATTGGTATTTTCACCACTACAAAAACCGGGGAAAAACCAAGTAGCACAAGGTGGTACCCCCATAGTTATTCGTTGGTTTTTAAACCAAAGTAAGTATAGATACGGTGATATAAGTATCTACCATAAACCCTAGTTATTCGAGTTATGTTCACCAACTTCTGAACGCATGGACCCAGCGAACGTTGCAGTTTTTGGCCTAGCCTTCGCCGGCCACGGCGCGTTTGAAAACAGCTCCAGCCATGGCGACAGTCTATCGACCGCATTCCACGACGAACTCCATGAGCTTTTCCAGAGGCGGAGCGTTTTTCATGGGGCAGCGTTGATTTAAAAAAACATTAAAGAAAGCCATGGAACATTAAACAATGGAAGCCATGGATTTAAGCCATGTTTCCTGGCGCAGCGTTTTTTGAATGGCCTCCAGGAAACATCGAAAAACGCATCAAAAAAAACCCATGGAACATGATATTTTTTAATAGGTCAATCATCTGAGGATCCACCATCCCGGAGATTAGCATAAGTGTTTTTATAAACCATCAACGACCATGGGTGGTTTTATGTAATGACATTGCTTTACAGAATGGGAAGCTGCAACGGGTGAGCAACAAGAATGGGGGTGATGAAATAGCAAACTTGAAGTAGGAATATCGAGCTACCAACAGCTACTATAGACAATGGAAAATCACCATTTTAACGGGTAAATCCACTATAAATGGTGATTTTCCACTATAAAGTTTTCTTTGTTGAGAAGCTGACCGTCAGCTGACATCCGACCATTGACCTTGCGAAAAAGTCAGTGATCCTCCTTGGCTTGGGAAAGTCCAACTGGTGATCCGTTTTGGGGGTCACTTGTGTGACTGGTGATGCACACGTGTGAAAAACACATCAGACGTGAGATTTATGCAGTAACACCAAACAAGAAATAGCATCCCCCAATGACTTTATCGGAAATGGCTAGGTATAAACATAGCTGGTTGGTGGTTTGTTTCTCTAATCTATTTTATTTTTCCATAGATTGGGAATGTCATCATCCCAACTGACTTTCATATTTTTCAGAGGGGTAGGTCAACCACCAACCAGATAGTATCAACGATCCAAAAATTCGGACTTTATGTGAGTGACAAGGTGACGAGCTCGAACGCTGCACCAAACCGAAAATCAAGGTGTGCAGATCTCCATGGCTGTGCTCACTGGAGCTATTCATCCCAAATTTACCCCGTGGTAAATTAACAGTTGGACCCTGAAAATGACCAATTTATAGTGGAAACTAATCTTCCAACCCCGATGACTGGCAGGGTCTATGTTAATTTACTGGAGGGTATGTGTCTTATTTATGCCATCATTCCAGATCACTCTCACCTGTTGCAAGGATTTTTATGAATTGAACAAACATTTTAGGATGATGATTAAGTTTGTTCATTAATAGCATGGCATAACATCTGATTAATCTTATCTGACTATGTCTAAATGGCGCATGGTTTTACGTCATTGCAACTCTTTCATGCTTGTTTCGAGTTGCAAGCTGCAGAATTGGGCATCCCATGATATCCCATACCTGGGGCGACTGGGATTGTCACTTGAACATCACATTGAAAAACAAATTTCTATTGGAATATTCTATGATATTCTATTCATACAGATATTTTCTACCATTACAGTGCTTATATAATGTCATTTGCGTCCCGGCAGGCAAGCGCTCTCCAAACACGGCCACCGTGGCGCACCATGGCGCCACCCACGGCGCCACCCACGGCGCCGGCTGCGGCTTCGGGCGGCCCTCGTCCACGCCGGCAGTGCGGCGGGCGTCGACGACGCGGTCCATGGAGAAGCAGCCCTTGCAGTACTGGAACCAACAAGCAAGGCAGCTTGGCTCATTGTATAGTGGCATTGGTTAAGTTTATGAGTCCAGCAACACAGAGAATATAGGGTTTGACAAAAAAAATAAAAAAAAACAAAACCAGAGCAAACAAAAAAAAACGAACTAGAAAACCAAAACCAAGGAAAAAACAAAAAAAGCAACACGCCGACAAGAGAAACAAAAAAACAAAAAAAAACAAAAAAAAACACAAAAAACAAAGAAAAATCAAAACCTGCATTTTCCTCAGTTTTTTTTTGTTTTTTTCTTGATTTTTCTTGTGACTCTTCCTGTCGAGTTGTATTTTTGGTGATTCGGTTTTTGATTGTTTTTTTTTTTTTTAGTTTTTTGCTAAAATCCACTTTCTCTGTTCTACACGGGGTCATAAGGTTAAGTATTAAGTATAGTATTTTATTAGTAAGGATAATTAATTATACTTAACTACTTTAAGATAATTTTGAAGCAAGGCATCTTGGCTGAAGATGGACATTGGTGAACTGATTCTTGATAATTATGATAATTTTATGTATGTAATTTTAGTCAGTTTGGCCAATTGTAGAGTGACATTGGTTAAGTAATTTATTAGGCAATTTATGATTATAGTCAGCTACTTATAGATAATCATGATATTGCACCATTGCTTGAGAATTATAGATAGTTATACCAATATATATATATAGTAGAGCAACTGGTTGATAATTATAGTTTAATCGTTCTTAATGTCACCCTTGGATTTTGCTGAAGCCCGAACGGCTGTTTCGTTGGGGGGGGCGTACCGAAGTTGACAGTATTTCTGGCGGGACGATCATGGAGTCCATGGAGCAACCTGGAAAAAATGACCCAAAAAGGATGTATGGACTTCACTTTTACTTCATTGAAGATCCTGAGAAATGATGTGTTGGAGATCCTCAAAAACCGAGAAACGATAAGCCTAAACCCTAAACCCTTCACAAACGATCAATATATTGATACTCTGAGATCAATACTCTCTGGTTTTTGGTATTCACCTGGTATTCCTTTTGTCCAGATTGGATATTGCTATGACCATCAGTTTTCCAGACTTGGCAATTTGTTTATGATTACGTAGTATGTTGATTTGTGTAGAGTTTTCAAGCGAGAAGCTGATAACTTTCATGGATGGATCATATTTTTCAGGCAGCTGGATGATATATTATGTTAAGTTTTTAAGAGAGATAAGGGAATCTTCTTCCATTCATTTGCAGTTTACTGAATAACTACAGATAACAATAAGAAAACACAGCATCCATTGCAAGCGGGAATGACTTGACTAACAACATTTAATAGCTGATAACCACCTTAACTGCCTTATTAGTTTCCATTTCATGAAATGACAATGATGATGATGATGATGACGACGACGACGACGATGACGATGATGACGACGACGACGATGATGATGATGATGGCGATGGTTGGCGATCATTGGCGGCGATATAGTTTGACTAACAACCAACAAGTTCGAGGACTGACGCAACACTTTTTCTTATTACTTTTGACTAACATCACCAAACGTCAGAGATGGGATGTGACCAACGGAAGTTGAAGGATTAAACTTGCAAAAACGAGGTTGTGAAAGCCTTTATTTCGAGTTCACATAGACACCATGAAAAGTATAGAGATGTCTACCTACAGTACCATAGTGCCAGTTCGTTCACCTCGCGACACTAGCCCCATCCAGCTATCATAAAGCAGCGATCGAACTAGTCCCTGTATTGCTAGTTGAAAATCTATGGTTTTGGGACCCCCAAACCCAGGAGTAATCCCAGTTTTGAGCAGGGCTGATGAGTTGTAGCCACACATGGATGAATATCATTATGCGAAATGGGGCGTTATCAAAATCGCCAAATGGTTAATTCAGCGGATTTGCGACAGTAATTAGTTGATATTAATTGGTATTTGTTGGGTAACTTCAGGCCTCTGTCTCTACTGCAGGAACTACGATGACAACATCTTCTCCACGATTGACGAGGACGTTGGGACGGGAATCTGGGGATGGATTACAGGGGGAAGGGATTATAAACACTGTACGTCCCAGTCAGTGCATTTATGACAGGTTTATAGCTGGATTGAACATATATTCAACCATATAATGTCCATAGATTTTTTTTTTCCTCTGGCATCTGAGTCGGCGCTCGTGCCTACATGCATCGGCAATGGCTACCGTGGTTGGTAGACTGGGCACATGTCACTATGCTCAGTGCAAGCTGCCACCTTTGCCAATTCAGCTCCATAGCGTTCTGCATCAGCTGCATTAGGCGCCATGTGCCAGGATTTCATGGCACGAAAAATGGCCTGTGCGAATGCCTGATTGAGCTGAGCAGGATACTCTTTGGCTTGGGCTGTTCGAAAAGTGCCGTCAGGATTCTGTCCTATGAGGTGCGTTGTGGGCCGTGTGGCTCCTGGGATCGCACACTCCGCTAATGCCTGTGGCAAATTCGAATTGGAGTACAAAAACATGGTCGGTTTGACCCCGCAGCTACCGTAGCGCCACTGTTCAGCGCTCACTCGACGAAAGGGTCCATGAGGAGGTCGATGCAGCAGGCAGGTGAGGCCCAAGCGCCAAATGCTTGCATACTCTTCCTGAAATGGCATCGATGGATGCTCCAGGAAAGTGGCACCACCTGTGAAGGTGACCAGGCAGGCCAACACAAGGCCTTTGAGCAGCAGGATGTTCCCTACGAAAACCTGCTCTAATTCACTGCCTGACATCATCGCAAGGCCCCATGGATCTTGTGCCGAACGTACAGGACGAGGTCCTCGACGATCTCTTCCCTCGGAGTCAACCTGCTGCTGATGCCGCGCTGCTGTCCAAGTCTCGCAGGGCGGGCCCTGCAGCAGTCCAAGCACTCTTCCTTCTCGCGCAATGCCGGTCAGAAACCTCCATAGTTTCTCATCGTGCACGTTCAGGGTCGGGTCGACCGCTGTATCAATGAACAATACACGGATATCCAGGTGCCGGAATTGATGGAGCATTCCTTCAACAGCAGCATGGAAATCATTGGGCCGTCGACGACCTGAATATAGATGCACGATATAATATGGTCCTTGCGTCGAAGGAGGTGAACGTCGAGGAGCTCCAAGGAGTTTCCACTGTCGACGTAATCCCTCTTCATGTCCCATACGCGCAAAGGGGCACGGAATGTCGTGCAGACGGTGCCGTGGTCGGCTTGTCTGCGGTAGCTGCCGAGGTGGGAGATCAGGTTCATCTGGTGGGAGGTTCATCCAAAGGTTGGTGAGCTCCTTCATCGCACAGCGCTTGGACCAAGCAGGGATGTCCTCAAGCATGAGCATGTAGGCATCCTCCAAAATGTCGATGAGGTCAGGCTCAAGATCTTCTGGCCGCTCATCATAGAACCGCGTCTCAATCCAATGAATGAACAGTCTGCCTCCAAGAAGATCTGGTACATCCAACCTGAAAATCTGCTGGAACATAATGTTCTGGAAGTCAATGGAAGTGGGTAAGTCCTGCATGCACCACGTTGCGAGGCCCGTCCCAAAGGCAGCAAAGGCTCTGTCAACCAGCGCAGGATCACTTTCTGGGTGCCACCAGGCAAACTCATCTTTCCCTGCATGTTGAAGGGCAGTGATTCGCTGTCTCAGGCTGATGCGCTGCCGTTGGGTACTGGTTGGTCTGATGGGCCCAAAATGCCGTCGCACTGCAGGCAGCCGTTGGACATGTTGTAAGTGCTTCGGCAGCTTGATGGTGCAAGGTTCAGCAGGCTGCCGGGCTCCATGAATGCGGTCCCAGCACCCATTCTGTCGGTACTTCAGGTGTTGTTGAACACGCCAGGTTGTGTGGTGGTCTTTCAAACATCCAGGGCAAACTGTGGACTGCACGTATGGCCGTTCATCTGAAAGAGTGCCATGGACTTGATAAGCATGGGAACCACGTGCATGAGCAGTAGCAAAGGTCATGTCGCATTGATTGCATCTGTAGCGTGGACATGGCAAGCTCTCTGCTTCAGGCACAGTTCCCTGCCATGTCTGAAACCCGGCAGCCTCAAGTTCCTCCATAATCACTGTGTGATAGTGAGCAACATCTCGAGCAATGCGATTCTGGATGAGGTGTTTCCGACAAGCTCTCTTCACCAAGCTTTTCCATGGCCGAAAATCTTGCAGAACTTCCCATAGTGCTGGCCACTCAACTTCGATGGTGGCAATGTCAAACGGGAGCTCCACAAGCGCACCCATCCACTGTAGGTCCGTCAGGACTTCACAAAGCCATCCACGTCCTTGGCCATACTCTGCAAGAAGGAGCTGTCGATGGTAAGCCGCAGCATGCTGACTGATGTGTTGCAGATAAATCAGTCGGTGGCGAGCCCAAATGACACGAAAGGTGGGAACTTCCAAATGATGTCGCAGCTCCTCATCAGTCATGTTGCTCTCACTCCAGTAGCCAATATTGCTGATTTGTCGATAGTGGTCCATGAGCACCGCCTCGATCTGCCGCAATTGGGCTGTTGAAACATCCGTCCATGTCGAGCAGGCATACAGGAGGCGGGCAACGACGAGGCTATCGTAGAGTTGCAGCCGTCCCTTGCATGGGATGTATTTGTTGTGGAAGAGGGGGCGTTTGAGCTCTTGATAAGCCTGTCGCGCCATGCTCATCCTGGTCTGGATCTCCATCTCAATGTCTGCATTCATGGAGAATCGGGCGCCTAAGTGCCGATATGTAGCCACTACCTTCAACGTCAGGACATGGGTGTCCGTGGTTATAATGCATGGCGCAGCACCAGTGTCGAAGAGCGCTGTGCGACAGGCATTTGCACCAGGACCTCTGTACATAACGACAGCCTCTGATTTCCCCTGATCGAAATTCATGGTCATGCCGTGCGCATTGAACGTGTCGTGCAGCAAAGCAGTGGCCTGTTGGATCAGGGGAATCATATGGCCTGGTTCCTCAACTGTGAGAAGAATCGCAAGATCGTCGACCCAGGAGATTGGAGGAACAGTAGTTCCGAGATCCATAGATTATCCCATAGAATATTCATAGATTATCTCATTATATATAATCCCATTATTTACAGCGTTTCATTTCGGAATCCCACTAGTAGGAATTATATCCCTGGTAGTTTCCAACTTGTTTCATAAATAGCAAGATAACTAATTTTTCCATTGGGCCAAATCCCATCGTTTTCATGGCAATATTTATGGATTGATTATACTATGGCAATAGTTATGAATATTCATGGCAAATAATCCATGGAATGATTCTACCATATAATATCCATAGATTATCCCTGTCCATAATCCCATATTCCATTAAACTGCCATTATCCCATCCCATCATATTTACGCTGTTTCATGTCGGAATCCCGATCTGGGCAAAATTATCCCGTCACTCTGACCTCACTGGAATCATGATTACCCTCTGGTAAACTAACATAGCTATTGAAAATGGTCATTTATAGTGTATTTTCCCATGAAAAATGGTGATTTTCCATAGCTATGTAAACGTTTACCAGAGGGTAGGGTTCGGGGATACTTAAATCCCTATTGTTGATGATTACAGCCCTACAATCCTCTGATGAATCATTAAACAATCCCTATAAATGGATGGTTAATTTATCAACAATCGGGATATGAAATCCCTATTACAATCCATTGTATTCTATTGTTGATGGTTAAATCCTTATGTATAATCCATTAATTATTATTATCCCTATATTATCCCTATATTATCCCTATATTATCCCTATATTATCCCTATATAATATTATCCATATATTATCCCTATATTATCCCTATATCATCCCTATATTCCCATATATATATATCATTATCCCTATAAATGGAGGGGATATTCCCTATCATTAATATATTCCCTATTCCCTATATTAGTATATGATTTCCGATGGTGTCTTGGTGGTATTTAAGTGGTATTCCTAATCTGGCTCCCTGTCAATACCAGATTGCAGATTGGTGTCAAAGGAAATGCGGAACTTTGCTATTGGGGTTGTATGCTGGGTTAATTGTCCCAATATATTGTCCCAATATCTAGTCCCAACTACCCTATTATTAATCATTATTAATCCATTATTATCCCACTATAATTTTAATCCACCAACTAGTATAGTCCCAATATATTATTGTTTTTGTTATTGTTATTGTTGCTATTATTATCATTATGATTATTATCCCATCATTATGATGCTATTATTATGCTTAATGATGGTTAATATTGGTTATCTTATACCTATACCTACAAAAAATATTGTTATTTACCACTATTATCCCATACAATGTGAGGCCCCCCAGTGATGTTAGTTGGTTTAGATTCGCCCCAGTAACTAGTTTGTTATTTGCGTACCATAAACCATAGTTATTGGAGTTATGTTCACCAACTTAGCTATCGAGCGGGGGCCTCACATTGTAGTTGATGTTTATTATTGGATATGCCGTTATACCATGTTATACCCCTGGCATGATTGAAAAACTGACCAAAATTAACCAGATAGCTATTATCATAGAATTGGATGATGGGAAAATTTACAGGAAAGCCCTATATTTGATGAAAAAAAACCCATGGGTTTCCGGTTAAAATTTTCCCTTAAACCAATCCAGTGATATTAACTATGTTAACCAATCCCATACCTATCATTAACCACTATTATGGATTAATCATTTACTGGCAATGGATTCATGGATTCATAATAGTGTATCATTAACATTCATTAACTAATCCATCATTAATCATTAATCATTACCACTATTTTCCCATACCTATAGTGGATTTTCCCATTAAAAATGGTGATTTTCCATAGTTATGTAAACGTTTACCAGAGGGTAACCATGTTAACCAATCCCATACCTATCATTAACCAGCCCAAAAAAATCGCCATCCTCCCAGGACGCCACGGGGGTCATCCTGGACGTCATCCGCTCCCACGGCAGCCAGGACGACTGCAGGGCCTCGCGCTGTGTGGACCTGGGCTGCGGCGTCGGAACCTTGCCAGGGACCAGGGACCGGGACTTCAATAGGAATGGTTAATAGTTAATGATGGGTTAATAGTGGTTAATAGTGGTTTGGTTAATTCAATGGATTGGTTTAAGGGAAGCCTTATGGTTAATAGTGGTGAATGCGGATTAATGATGGTTAATGATGGTTACCTTCTGGTTATTTAACGTAGCTATGGAACATGGTCCATTTATAGATGTTTTTTGCTGATTTCCCAATTAAAAATGGTGATTCTCCGTAGCTACGTTAAATAACCAGAGGGTAATGGTTAATGATGGTTAATAGTGGTCAATGCTGATTAATGATGCTTAATGATGATTAATGATGGTTAATATTGGTTCAATGGATTGGTTTAAAGGAAAATTGAAGTCGGAAAGCCCCATATTAAAAATGGGAAAATCGATGATTTCCGGTGAAGATTTTCCCACCAATCCATTGATTAAGGATGGTTAATGATGGTTAGTGGTTAATCATGCTTAAGTGTTGTAGCATGTTGTAGCTGTATATGCATACACATATCTATATATCTATATCTATATCTATCTCTGTATATATATATAAGATGATATGATTATACTGGTGTATATATGTATGTATATATATATATGTAAATGTACGTATGGTCCAGGCCAGCAACGCCACCCCCACGTCATGGTCATGGTCGTGTATGTATGCTATATGTACGCTGTATGTACGCTGTATGTAGGAGGCTTTATGTAAGATATAGTTTACAGACCCCACCGCCCCTGTGGGATGGGTGGGGGCTAGGTAGTGTGTCACTGGCATGTAAGGCAAAACGGCACGTATGTAGGTAGTGGGGGGCTACAATGCTCGGAGGGGTAGGTGTTTTAGAGGTATCGTGTAGATAGTGTATACTTGGCAGCTTGCATGTATGTATAGCATATGAGATCTTGACAGCTAGTATATGGCCACTATAAAAGTAATACGTTGTAAATAGGGTGATGTAGGGTCCTACTTTGGGGTTATGGGGCACAGTTGCAAAGTAGTTACTATCAAAATGATTCCTCAATGGAAAATCTAACAGCCGTATCATTTTTCAAGGGGTTCACCGTGGATTTCTAGATCTATGCAATCACTTCCCTCAATAATCAAACTCTGGCTGGTTGGTGGTTTGGAACATTTTTCCATATATTGGGAATGTCATCATCCCAACTGACCATATTTTTCAGAGGAGTCTGGAAGGTCCAAACATCAAAATGCGATGCTTGGCTTTGGCACCGACGCGGTGTTTTTCCATCATCGCTGTATCAGGAGACGATGCTAATTGGACCGGATGCAGGTGGAAGCCGAAGGTGTAAAAACAACATATCCCACAATAGATGGGCTGAAATTATATCCCATATAATCCCATACATATATAAATAATTATAAATATATATTATATTATATACACCCATACTCTGCCCAGTACAACAAGCATCGAGGAAAGTACCTGCCCGCGCTCTCCAAGCATTTTCGCCAGGCGGGACCAGCAATTTTTGGGAAGACTGGAACGATAGGCCTGAAAAATAGGCCGTATATATTGTAGGTACCTCCAATTTAGGTTCCTGAAATGGCCAATGACTTGATGATAATTTCACTTGATGAATTTATGATATGTTTATATATCATCCAGTGTTATCACTTTCTGGAAGACTGGAGCTATGTTTCACGTTTTTTTTTTTTAAATTATCCTTATTGATTCTTTAAAATATGATAAAATTTGAAAAAACAATCAAGGATAATTACATAATGAATTTCATAGGTGGAATTGGGAACAGTATATGTCTGTGTTTTTTCGATTTTCATCATTCACATGGGGCTGCAGCAAGCACTTTATGGGGATTGGGAAAAGCCATGGCTGCCATCCGATCAAAAAAATCTGGGATTTCACCAGCAGTGGAGTTTTTGCCAAGGCAGAAGTGGTTGTTGGTGACTGGAACCATGGAATTTTACCCTCTGGTTATGACTAACGGTTAGCCATGGAAAATCCCCATTTTTAAGAGTGAACCATCTATTTCTATGGGCCATTTTTCATGGCTATGTTAAATAACCAGAGGGTATGTTCCCCAATAGTTGGGATGATGATCCAATCTGACGAACATCTATATTTTTCAGATTGGTAGGTCAACCACCAATTAGAGACTGTGTGTTTTTGTGTAATTTGAAAAGGGAATATGATGATAAACCATGATAAACCACTGGAACTGGGTGCTATTTTGGGGCAAACTTCTATTTTCCTCAGAATAATGTGGACCTAATGATCAACCATCCCAAAATCACCATTACTATAGGTTGTACAAACCACCTCAAAATGGTAGGTTTATGGCCTGGGCTTTGCCGCATTCAATGTATCTTGCATTGATTTACTATGATTTAACCGTAGTTTATACTGGCACTACCAGGTTCAGAAACTCATCGATAGGGCGTAAATCCAACATTTTTTGGGCAAGCAATGACCTTAAATTGCTAGAGGCTACTACCAGGCTACTGTAGAGAATCTACATTCACAGCAATTTTCCAAGCATTTCCCAGTGATTTTCCGACCATCTCCAACACACGCCGTAAACGCTAATAGGTGATGGCTTACGATCTGAGCCCAAAGTTGGTCGCGCTGGCGCTCAAGGAGGCGCTCAAGATATATCTGCTTGGTGGTTTGGAACATGACATTTATTTTCCATTTCATATATGGGATGTCATCCTAACCCCATTGACGAACTCATATTTTTCAAGATGGGTTTTTAACCACCAACCATATATATATACATATGTATGTGTATCAAAAATCCCATGGATGACAGTTGCCCCAAATCAATATGAATTTGCCTTCTGAATTTGCCCAAAAAATCGGGCACCCCTAAAATCATTGGCACACTGGAATGGTTCAAAAGGTATGAGTGAAAGGCCACTAGGATCTACACTGATCTACTTGCTCGGATGTGCATCTTTTTGGAGGGTTATTTTATTGTTTTACGTTTCGAGATTTTTCTTGGATTTCTGTTTCCCTGCTTCTTTGCTTTTCTGCTTTTCCCTGCTTCTTGACTTTTCTGCTTCTTTGCTTGTCTGCTTCTCCAAGATTTCTGCTTTTCTGCTTCTTTGTTTTTTGCGCTTTTCCCTGCTTCTTTGCTTCTTTGCTCTTCCCCGCTTCTTTGCTTTTCTGCTTCTTTGCATTTCTGCTTTTCTGCTTTCCCTGTTTTTGTGCTTCTCAAGCCTAAGCAACCCTTAAGATAGACCATATAAATAAACTCTAAACCACCCTACATAAACTCCAAACCAACCCCAAAAAAACTAAAACAACCCTAAGTAAACCTAAGCAACCCCAAAATAATTTTGAAAACTTTCCCCAAATAGATCCTAAGCCAACCCCAAATAGATCTCAGGCCAAGCCTGATCCTCAACAAACCCTAAATAGACCTTAAACCAAGCGTAAGCAAACCCTAAGCCAACCCAAAAATAAACCTAAAACCAACCCCAAAAAACTAAACCAACCCGAAAACCAACCCCTAAATAAGCCAACCCCAAACCAACCCTAAATGAATCCTAGGTGCAAAATACCATGCGACATGAACAGTTTGAGCACCAAAATGTTGCACATACCACGGAAAATGAGAGGTTCGAACTCCAAAATGTTGCAAAATGCCGCTGAAACGGCAGTTTTCAGCTCCAAAATGCTGCAAATAGCAAGGGAAACAGACAGGACAGGAGATTAAACAAAAAATCCAAAACGGAAAAAATACTTTCCAAAACAATTCCGGACCGCTGATCTGGGATGTGCATCTCACTTAGTCAATGGTTAATAAGTTAATAGCCAACATATATAATCTATCCAGTGATGAACGGAACGGAGCAGTCAGCCGCGTTCGGGGGGGCTCCATGGGATATACAACTGGGCAGATTTTCCGTGGCTTGTACCATGGTTACTACCCACATTTATGTGGGATGCACAATAAAAAAAACATTAAAAAAGGGGACTTGGATGTCTTGATCCAACATAACCAATGGGAGAGTACAGTTTCTTGCTATGTACACACACATATGTATAATATAAATATATATATATACACACCCTATATTGTGCGCATTCAACGATTTACTGCTACAATATTCATGCATGTTTGCACTAAAAATTACAGGTCTTGTTATACACATATATCCACGCCGTCTTTGCTATATGCATGTGCTATACGTCTATGGAAAACATCTGCAGTTGAAAGGCAAGAGACAAAGTCAGTGAGAGTTCTCTGAAGTTGCAGCTACCCTAGGGTATACGCACCAAAAGATGTGGAACACCCATGGTTCCCGTTCAGAAAAGCGTCTACAAATGGTTGATTTAGTTGATTTTCCACATGCTTCTCAAAGATGAAATTATATCTTGGGGGATGGGGTGTGCCCAACTAATTGCAGACAGTGAGTTTTGACTGTAACCTGTAACAAGTATCATGTCATAAATCGCACTGAACAAGTCATTTTCATCCAGCTAGCGATACGTCGCGCAGTGGAGGTCAACATTCGGCTGTATAGCATCTCCGAAAGCACTTGGCTGTGGCTTGCGAACAAGGCGCTCTCGCAGAGCGTAGGTTCTCTGCCGTTTGGCGCACCTTTCGTCCGCATCATCACTGTTGTAGCCTGGCTGGTGGGCAAGTCTGCCGAGCGGCTGACTCGATGGACAGGTTACAGGTGGCAAAGTCCAGCGGTGCTGCTGTCCATATTTCATCGATGCGAACGCAGAACTCCTGTAAAAAGCTAAGCAACATTCAGGCTACGGTTCCAGTTGGGATAGCCATCACATAGTTAGATTGTTTGTGGAAAATGAATCAGGGGGATGATACTTTGGAGCCACACAAGATATAGATATTGGTAAACCCATTCTATCCCATGATATTCCCATATTTGCTGTTTAAACCGCCCATCAACCAGGTTGAATTAACCATCACCGATGTCTGTAAAAGGTGGCCCCCCTGGCTATAAGTTGATTTATGAAACCATGAAGTAGCCTAGGGTAGCTACCATCTGCAAGGCTAGGTAAGGTCTATAGACGGTCACCTCAAAGGCCACCTGCGGTGGGGAACATCAGGAAAAATCCATTGGAATAGGGTGGGTTTTTACCATGGTTTTACCCCATTTATCAAACACAGGTATGACGGTATGACCTTCGAAAAATGGAGTTGGACTCAGTTGGAGGTGTGATTTTCATTGCTTTTCCTGATCTCAATGGGAGATCTCCAGGATCCTAAAATGGAGGTACGTTAGTACCATACAAGACCATATTTTTCTGGGGATATTCCCTGAAATTTAGGCCTTGAAAAAAGGCTAAAAATTATGAAATCGGTACCTCCAATGTTAATCGGTTCCTGAAAGGCCATTGATGATCTGTGGATCTGATGTGGATTTTGGTGCGCCAGGTGAAGCGAAAGAACTTGGAGAATGTGAGCGTCCGAGCCCTAGGACTGTTGTGCCGGGGCTCTGAAGAGACACGCAGGTTGCTGCAAGATTCATGATTTTGTTTGGAAGAATGAGAAAAGCTAAAAGAACAAAAAAAAGTCATAAGATACAATTTAAACTATATAATATACTGTATTAATCTGTATTATTGTCGATCTAAAGGTCCATGTAGAGATTGTCCATTGCAATGGCCGCCAGGGTTTCAACATGAGACCCCGCGATTTTTTTCTGAATCCGCGAAAGTAAATATTTTTTGGTTTATATAGTGAAATATTTTATAATATTTCAACATGAGACCCTCGCGAAAGATAAACGTGGGGTTCGCGAAAGATTGGCGAAAGTAAATTTCTTATTCGCTAAGAGTGGCCGTTTGCAGATAAAGGAATTTAGATCAATCGCCATCTTGGTGTGTTGTTGCTGTACGTTCCATGCGTTTTGGCGGTACGTTCCGTGACGTGCGTTTTTGGGACCGGTGCGTCGTGTGACGCATTTTGTTTCCATATGTTCAATTTGCTTTTTGATTGGCTAATAAAAGCAAATATGATGGTTCCAGTGTATTGTTTCTGCACCGCCCAATAACTATGCAGCATTTTCCAAGACGCGAAGAATAGATCGTCTGGGAGGCATTCATTTCGCGCTTGCGTGTTTCGATTCGTTTCCGTTCCGTTCCTGGTTCTGTGGTCTGGTCGGCATGTGGGAAGGAAGTGCAAATACACTAGGATCACTAGGACCCCATCTCCCTGTGATTGAGGTCGCAGTGAGGGACCTCGCACAGGTCTGGTACAGAAGTGATCCTTCAGGACAGGCTGAGATCATGGCTTGTGGGGTAAATGCTGACGGCCTACATTTTTTTGGGGGGATTTTAGCATGGAAAATATATGGAAAAATTGGGATTGACCATGGAAAATCGGGATTTTTACCATATTTTGGGTCAGAAGAAAAACAAGCTTTGGGTCAGAAAATGACAGGCAAAGCGCCCCAAATCCCATGGTCGAACCGTTTAGCACCTCAGTATTTGAACAATATATAAAATGATATAACACGTACATTTTGGAAATTTGGGTGCGTCTTCAATTTTTGGACACACTCATCTTGAGTCATTGTTAGCACCATCTCATTTGGAATATCGACTTGACCCATTTCATGGCAAGAAGAATTTCAGACCCCCATGGGAACCATGGTCGCTTCGCATCTATACGCATTGTGTTCTTCAAATTCGGGACCCCAAAATCATCCACATGTGGTGGACAACTATGGTAAAAAGCATGGTTTTTGAGGTACTATCAGGTAATCAAACGTGGCAAACTGGAAAATCCTCCATGCAGCTCAGCTATAAACCTCCATCTATAGGACCGGAGGCTACCCCAGTTTTGAGGGAAGCGCCAGTCCCATTAGTTCTGTGAGACAACCTGGGAATCGCATGCGTGGCAACAGCAATGAGTGTGCAATGGAACAATGATTAATGATTAGTAGGGGATACATATGCGATACAGATGGATACAGATGGATACAGATGGGTATAGATGGATGTAGATGGATATACTATCCACATCAGAAAAGGGTACGCAACCAATCAGCCAAGGGCACTTTTTGGATGCCGGTGGAACCATGAACCAAGTAGGAACGGCTTAGTCCCTGGAATTAAGTGATGAGCCTCCCATTTCTTTCTCTGAAACCATGTTCAACCCACGTTTCTGCTGATAATCCACCCTGTTTCTATTTCTTCACTCCCAACTTTTTGTTTGGCCAAATGACCATTTCGTTTGGTCGAAAAAACTTAACCGTTTAACTGGCGGTTAACGCTTAGACCCCGGATTTCTGCTGGTGAAATCCCCATTTCTGATGTTGGCCATGGGTTGAATCACCAAAAAAGCTCCTAAACTCCCGTGGCCCTCGAGGGTCGAGTCACTTGGTGGGGTCAGGAGCTTGTTTTGGGAGGTTGGATGAACTCGAATCCTTTGGATTTGGAGTCATGGCCAATGCGACTTGTCGACTCTGATCGTTTTGAGAACGCCATATTGGATGGGGTTCACCATAAAAACCATGGGTAGATCATCCCCACTTAGCCACTGCTTAGCCACCATAGTTCGGTAAGCCCGGTAACTTACATGCGACAAGTGACTAGCTAGTCTCCAAGCAGGTAAACCCCTGAAGTAAGGAGATATTTCACCCATCACGGCGATGGGAAGTAGCAGGGATTACCCTCTGGTAATTTAACATAACTATTGAACATGGCCATTTATAGTTGATTTACCTATTAAAAGTGGATTAAAAATGGTGATTTTCCATAGCTATATTAGTTTACCAGAGGGTAATCATGATTTATCGATCTCAGATGGGATTATGATGCTCTACTTGGGATGGAAAAAAGGATTCTTATCATGATAGGTATTTGTTTTTGATGTGATGTTTTATACCATAAACGGGTAAAACAACGGGTAAATCAACGTAGAACATGGGAAAACACGTTCACCGAGTCATATCTCTCATGTTTGGCGATCTCAATGGATGGAGGCTACATGAGGGTAGCCTATTTTCAGAGAAACCTATCTTGGGAATGCTATCTTGGTTGGTTATATAATGTTGGTTAGAGTTGGTTATATCATATTGGTTAAAGTTGCTTATATAATGTTGGTTAAAGTTGGTTATATAATGTTGGTTAAAGTTGCTTCTATAATGTTGGTTAAAGTTGCTTATATAATGTTGGTAAGAATTGGTTATATAATGTTGGTTAACGCTGGTTATGATTAAACAAAAAAAACTTCCCATTTTCCTTTTCGTGGGGTTCTGTTGGCCGGTTCTATCATCTCCGATGTTCTATGATTCGATGCCTGATCGCGGCCGCCACGCTCCGAAGTTGTCAGAGTTCGAAATATATATATACTGTATATATATATGTTGTTTATGGTAAATATAGTCATGGAATATAGTACTAACATGTGATAACACTAATATCTAATAATGATAGTGATTGATAGTGTAGAATCACAGTAATATATATATATATATATGTACTGGTTGGCGGTTTCCAACATGAATGTTATTGTCCATTTCATATATGGGATGTCATCCTTCCCATTGACGAACGCATATTTTTCAAAATGGGTTTAAAAAACCAACCAGTATATGTTGTTCTGTTTGTTGCAGCCATGGGCTGTTGTTCTCAAAATTTGGTGGTTTGCCATATATTATGTTGTTCTGTTGTTTTCTGTTGTTTTCATATGGAGGTTTCCGCACATATTGCTACCCTAAACCATTCGTTTTCCCATTGATAATAACCAAATAACTTGGATGATTTGGGTGTACCCTCATGACTGAAACCTCCAAATGGGTTTGTCTTAAAATAGGCTACCCCAAAACGCAATGGATTATCATCATGTTTCCCTGTTAAAGTGGCCATTTACAGGTATTCTATGGTATTCTCCATTTTCAGACACACCCATACAGGATGGTCCAGTTAGAAGTAGGTTAAGAAACCCCATTAGCTATAGTTACCCTCTGGTAATTTAACATAGCTATTGAAAATGACCATTTTTAATGGGAAAACTCACTATAAATGGCCATTTTCAATAGCTATGTTAAATTACCAGAGGGTATACCATAACCATAGAATTCAGCCACTTATAAGGCAATTGAACGCTATCTTGGGGGCCCCAAGCTGTACCGCTGGTGATTTCCATCGTCTCAACGAGGTGCTGATCGCGCCCGGAGACGTGCAACTTCATGAGTGGCTGGGCTCACGTCGATTTTTTTGGGGGGTTGAAATTCGCCTAAAATGGGGGAAGTTGAAACACGCCCAGAGAAAAAGTAGGATTTGAATTTGATTCACATCTTTTTTGGGGATTTGTACATGTAATACGCATATGTAAGGCCTCAGATGGAGTATATTTTAAATTTTGGGGCACCCATGTCCATGTCGTTAGGATGTTGTTTGAGGATACTTTAGTGGAGAAACATAATCTAAAATGGTCCTCCCTAATTTATGATGGCACCGGGAAAAACTTGGGTTTAAGCACACAAGATGGATCTATAGGATGATATTTGAGGCCCAAAACTGAGGGTTTAACTAAGTTGGGGTTTGAAAACTTGAAAACAAAATTGATTCCTTTTTCAATGATAAAATAATTACTGTAGGGATTAGGGATCCTTTCTAACACGGCGAAATTTGTCGATCCTGGTGAAATCTGGTCCTTTACGGCCGCAGGTTGATGCTGTGCAACGCCCACCGTTCGCTGTGTCCTGGGGGCCGGCTGTTGTGCATCGTGCCATCGCTGGAGAGCGCGTTGTACGTGCACCAACGTTGTGAGGAAGAAAGAGCCATGGAACAAATCAGGTGGGTGCCGTGGGTGTCTTGGGGCTTCACAGGCTTAGATAACCTGGTTACTAACATGATGCGTGAGCTGGGCAATATGGTGGAAAAATGAGTTTCGTGGGAGTTTCATGCTTATGCCATTGAAGTTGTATAATGATATATATATATATAGATATAGATATAACGTCATATACTGCATTATAATGTTATATACACGAAATTGGTGCTGGGATTCTCCCATCGGCATATTTTCATCGATCATCCCATTATCATCCTACTATAGCCCACTTCTTATATTATATCTACTTATTATGCTTTTCAACTTGAAGAAGATATAAGTATTAGCATTACTTATTATATCTGCATTATACTCATTATAATCTACTTTCAGTTCTGCTGATTTCTGGCTTTGGGGAAATGTTGACCACTCCACCAAATGATTCTTGGTGATCACAGCGTAACGCTTTCCGAAAGCGTTGCGCAGATCCTTTTCTTTCATTCTTTATGATCCACCAACGATGGTGGTTTTGAGAAAGTCATGGTTGAGAGATCCCCAGTCAGCACCATGGTTGTTTCAATATCTTCCAGTACTAAAGTCATGCGCATGACGACTGGATGACAACGGTGACTCTCCCCGAACTGGGATAATCCATGATAATCCAGGGTGATTTATGTAACCAACCATGGTAATTTCTAGGGGATTATCGCATATTGTCCCATCAAATAGTCGACTAGTGAGACCCTGGGAATATGATGAGAATTCAATATCAATACCTATACCTATACCTATATCTATATCTATATCTATATCTATATCTATCTAACTACCTATCTATCTACCTAATCTACTAATCTACTAATCTACTAATCTACTAATCTACTAATCTATCTATCTATCTATCTATCTCTCTATCTCTCTATCTCTCTATCTCTCTATCTCTCTATCTCTCTATCTCTCTATCTCTCTATCTCTCTATCTCTATCTCTATCTCTATATCTACATCCATATCTATATCTATCTATATCTCTATCTCTATCTCTATATCTATATCTACATCTATATCTATATCTATATCTATCTATATCTCTATCTCTATCTCTATCTCTCTATCTCTCTATCTATCTCTCTATCTATCTCTCTATCTATCTACCTACCTATCTATCTACCTATCTATCTATCTATCTAGCTATCTATCTATCTATCTATCTACCTATCTATCTATCTATCTATCGATCTATCTATCTATCTATCTACCTATCTATCTATCTATCTATCTATACATATGGGGATATAATTACCCTCCAGCGTCTTCAGCTCCATAGCCGCTGGGAAATGCCCTAGTGGGCATCTATCCATTGTGGAACCTAGGGGTCTATGTATGTATCCCATTGAGAATGGATTGATAATTGATTATTCCTGTCCCCCTGGGGGACTATATAAAAAATATAGGTCTTATTTGTCCATCTAGAAATGGATGATATGGACTATATTAGTAAAGCAATGTCATAAACCACACATATTTTTTGACGTTTATACCACTTCATGGTAAAAACATGGGGATGGTGGATCCTATGGGCTGCCAAGTGTAACCATATAACCAATGATAAATACAAGGGTTTTTCAGCTAAACTAACCTCCAAACAATTGGTAAAACATGGTAAAACCATTCCATCCACCAGTTCCTCGGCAGATCCGGACATCTCGAGGATCCGAGGGTCCCTACTGCTTGGGTGCGGGCGATTCCCGGCCCAGCAGGGCTGAGGCGGCGGATCTGCTGAAGGGCGTCTTGAGCCTTGGTGACCTTGGTGCCGGCCATGGAAATCATGTGCAAAATGCCACCCCAGTTATGGCGATTTAAAGGGGACAATGAAATTTTGAATTCATGGGATTGGGGGGCAGTAGACTATTTTGAAAGCCGTACCTCAGTTCATTGATCAACTCACCAATAGAATCCAATAGATACAGTGGTCATCAGTGGTCTATTTTAGTAGGTTGGAGCCCAGAATAGCCCACTTATAGGCGGACTCAGCATCACTAAGCTACTTTCTTCATTATTTCCATTCATAAACCGGGGTACAACCTACTTCCATTACTCACTAAGTGGGATGAACCCATTTCAGATGGTGGTCAAAACCACCCTGACATACCTTGACGTGCACGTTTGGATCCTGAAAATCCAGATTGAGGTGTGTGAAGGATGCTTATTTTTTGAAGCGCAAGTTTGTTTGAAAGCTGATGTAACCCATCTTTGGGTAAACACTACAGATCAAACTCTGTTGGAGATGTCGATTTAAAGCCTGAAGATACGGGCGTGGGGAGCAGAATCAAACGAAGGTGAGATCTTGTTAACCAACACAAACGGGGAAAGAACCGATTCAAGCACCAAAATGCTAGCTCAGCCCTTCTTGAACAGGAGAATGATGTGACCCGGCCTCCTTTATGGTACCTAAATGGTACCTTTCAGATTTTGGGTACCGCTGTGTCCGAAACACCGGCACCAAGGAGACGCTCGGGGGTGCGCACCAAACACTTTTTGGAGCCCGAATTTCGACTCCTGGCCTCCAAAGGACGACGTTTTTTGAATCGATGGGTACCGGGTACCCTCTGGTAAACGTTTACACCACCATTGAAAGATCCACCATTTTTCATGGGAAAACTCACTATTTCGACTGGGCCATTTTCAATAGCTATGTTTGTTTACCAGAGGGTAGATAGGGATATTTTCTATGGAGGTGTCCGTTTTGTCCTAGGGGTACCAAAAAAACAATCCAGTCGGAAAAATGGATGACCACTTGGTCTTGATGATGACTTGGGACTTGGGATAGCCCCATGACTTAGGAACGCTCCATATATCAGCGAAATATGATGTTTACACTATTTATTGGGATCCAAGATTGACAGTGACTTGGGAATTGCTTGCATCTAGCACCCCAAAATTGGACCCTCGATCGTGAAGTGGCTCATGTATCCATAGGTAGCTCACCTTCCAGTGAGACTTTTCTTCGCCTGAACTTATTTATCGGTACTCACCCATCCAATTCCTGAACCCCAGGCCATTCCGTTTACATTCAGATTCATTCAATTAATATGTTCTCATTTTGTTTGACTTTACCAGGACTTGACATCACCTGTTGCATCACTTGTTCTACCCTCCAAGTTAGACACCACTTTGCCCCGGTCGTCCCGGGTCCCATTATTCAATGGGAATATCCCCAGAATTCATATGGAACCGATAAACATTGGAGGTACCGATTCCATAATAAAGCCTTTTTTCAAGGCCTAAATTTCAGGGAATATCCCCACAAAAATATGGTCTTGTATGGTACTAACGTACCTCCATTTTAGGATCCTGAAGATCTCCCATTGATTTATCTTATTTCCAACATGTTCCAACCATCCAACAATGTCCTTTGTTTTTTTCAGCATCATTAACATGGAGATGTCTGGCATTTCCATAATATTCTATCTACTTCAGGATGGTTATACACGTCACATTTTCAACAAAAACTCATTCCTCTCATCCCCATCCCATAATCCCACAATAAGTATAGTTGTATGTAAATTAAAATCACTAAGATAAATAAATAAATACGATAGTATATCGATATCATTCTATATAAAAAATATCTACATATCTACACATATATATATATATATATATACATATCTACATATCTATATATCTACATATCTACATATCTATATATCTACATATCTATATCTATATATGTATATGTATATATATATATATATTTCATATATGTAATGTAATGTAATTGCACTGTAATGTAATGTAATGTAAATTTAATGTAATGCATGTAATGTAATGTAAATGTAATGTAATGTAATGTAAATTTAATGTAATGTAGTGTAATGTAATGTAATGTAATGTATGTAATGTAATGTAATATAATGCAATGCAATGTAATGTTATATGTAATGTTGTGTTATGTAATGTTGTGTGATGTAATATAATGTTTTGCTATTTAATGTAATGTAATGTTATGTAATGTAATGTTACGCACAGACCCCGTGGTTTGCCCGGACTGCAACATTGTGGGCACCCTGTTGTTGAACATGATAAGAGAGATTGCAGAAAATACTGCATATACGCAGTGTTTTCTGGTTTAGGGTTTAGGGTTTTAATGTTTAGGGTTTAGGGTCTAAAGCTCTGTTAGACAGTGATATTACTTTATTTGGGATTGATATCTTCGATTGCTTCACCCCCACCCGCCCTTTGTTCCCTCATATTTGCTGTTATCCGCAAAAGACGTTGGCAAACGAAAACAACTGACAACGCTGAATTCGACGCATAGCCGGTTCGATCAAGCGCAGCGCGCACCAAAACAAATGTATGACAAACAACATGGCAAGGCAAAGGGAACAATCTCAGGACAAGCCAGCGTGAGAACCACTCAACACAACATGACCGAGGAAACCTGCAGCGTCATATTGAACCCATCACGACATTGTGGGCGAAAACTCCGCACCGGCGGCACGCACAGACACCAACATTTTGAAAATCAACCTGGCCAACTGCCAGGGGGGGCAGGCGCAGAAGATATGACAAACGCTCTGGTAAACTGCACGGGTAGCAGGCGCAGAGACCAAGGATGCAACCATCACTGTGGTAGTCTCACGGGTGGCAGGCGCAGAGGCCAGGGATAGGTACAGCTATTCGTGGGAATGTTTCATAATCCCCCCTACCTAACTGCCTGGAATCTTGGGGGGGGAGTACGCCCGGAAATTCCACTGAAACATTCCACCGGAAAATGATGACTTCACAATATTTCACAATATTCACTACTGCAGGGTACGAAGCTTGAAAACAATATATATATATATTTATATATATATCCTAACCTTGGTTTTTCCCAATAGCATTCCGAAGTGGCCTTCCAGGTGTGTTTTGTCTCGGCCATGTCTTGGCTTTTAGCTCCGCGAGGGGTTGCGGAGCGGGGTTTACCAATATTTACCAATTTTATCTTGACAATTCTTTGAAAAATGAAGTGGTGTTCAAAAAATAAGTTCAACCCGACACCTCCCAAACATAGGATGCATCATCAATATATATATATATATAGACGTGTAGTGCCTCTACATTTGACACACGCACACAAAGTTGTAGATAGTAGATGTAGTTCTGTTGTGCGGACATGACTACATAGCAATCACATGGGGCAGGTATGATGTTCATTGGGGCTTGTTTCGCTCATAGTCAGCCATGGCGACTAAAGATGGGAAGTTTGAGCTGTGGGAAGAGCGCCGTAATTTCGGCTTGGATACTTGCTGGGTCCTGAGCTTGCACGAATCTTGGGACTATCCAGAGTTTGTTTTTTTTGATGATTTTTGATGAATGACAAGCGGGGGAAATATCCAATGAAGTGAAGATCATTACACTCGCATGGTCCAATTTGTTGATGTGGTTGATTCATGTTGAATCTCAATGAATCTCAGATAATCTCAGGGTGGCAGAAAGCGTGGGGGCCGCATTGCCTCTCGCAAAAGCATTGAAGATCTCCAGCCATTGCACCAACGGTGTTTGGGCGCGGGAGATTTGAGCCTCCAACAGTACAAAGACCTCTGCAACCAAAGGAACCTGAGGAACAACACTGAGGCATGGCCAGCTGACATTACGCGTAAAAAAACATATGGGGTTGAAATGCTGGTGTACAAGACCTGGGGAGGCTCAGCAAAAACAAGTGGGCAGATCTGAATCTTCTGAGGTTTTTTTCCATCCGTAGCTGCCCATACTAAAGCTGGAAAAATAGGGACCTTGCTTCTGAACGCGCTGAAAACCGCATTTTCCTATTTTGACAAACTAGGATCTTTCTGTTTGTCCAGGCTTTGCCGCCTAAAACCGATTTTTCCAGCCGTAGCTTCCCATACTAAAGCTGGAAAAATAGGGAACTTGCTTCTGAACGCGCTGAAAAGGACCTAGCAGCCTTGCTGGGGTACAAATAACTATTTTTATGATGTTATTAAGTCTCCCTAAGCCCAAAAAAATCTACAACCATCCATTGAGGGAGTCATGGGCTTAGAATTCCTAGTTTTACAAAATAGGAATAAGGACCTAGCAGCCTTGCTGGGGTACAAATAACTATTTTTATGATGTTATTAAGTCTCCCTAAGCCCAAAAAAATCTACAACCATCCATTGAGGGAGTCATGGGCTTAGAATTCCTAGTTTTACAAAATAGGAATAAGGACCTAGCAGCCTTGCTGGGGTACAAATAGCTATTTTTCTGGTGTTTTACAGAACGGATGCAGCAAATTAAGAAATCAAATCAGGTCCTGTTGTCGTATTAGGCCGACGTAAAATAATTTGTTAATTCAGACGACATCACTATTTCACCGGTAAAATTATTCGAATTAAGCGACGACCTGCGAAATATTTTAAATTGAGCAGATAAAGATGATAAAGAAAGATAAGAGAAAGCTGTACAAAATGGTTCAGTATTTGGAGGAGAGGAAAACATGACATCAGCCACCAACGCCATGCAGGAAGAGAAGCAGGCGCTTGTCTTCTTGTCTGAGTGCCTCTACAAAGTGACGGCTTGTTTGCTTGGGCCCAGGTGGGCTTCACTTTGTGGGGCCCAAACAGCCCAAGGCCTCCTTTGCGAAGCGCGGAAGTTTTTCAGTTCGCCCAAGATGACGTTGAGATCTCCAGGGGATCCATGCTGGTACAGGCACGTCCTCGCCAAGTTCTGTGCCAAACGCAATCTGCCTTTGACAGTTTGCGCCGCCAGCTCGGCGATGCATTGCAGTGCTCCAGATGTCCCCGCTACCATGGACCCAGTGGTCCTCAACAAGTTGCTTGATTTGTTTCAGGCTCTGGTTTGGCGATTTTGCACAGAGTTTTGCAACGCTTCTGGTGTAGACATTCCTCTGAGCCCTGGAGCCCAGGGCATCTTGCAGACACCCCAGTTTCGTCGCAGGAAACTTTTGCAGTTCAATTGGAGAGTAGACAGGGCAAGTTTATGTGCATGTGGGAAGCCTGCCATCCTCACATTGGCGTGCAAACGGCAGAGTGGCCACACCCGGCAGTGGTTGATGGGACGGACATGGTCCCCTAGCTGTGCGGGATGTGGTGCTGACCACTGCTGCGCATGTTCTACTTCCATGCCGACAACTGGTTTTCTTGACCCCAGACACCATTTCCAATCACCTGGAGGAGGCCTTTGCAGATGCCAAGCCCATGCGCCATCCATATGGTCGAGCTGTGGACCAAGCAGTCAAGCTTGTACCAAAGCTTGAAAGGTTTGAGGCCCTATCTCGAAAATAAAAGATTCCCGTGTGGCAGCAGTGAAGCGCGGCGTCATTGCAGGATCATCCCACGTACGGCAAACCATATAGTACCCAATATTCGACACATCAATACCGATTGTGATTGTTTTCAGTACTGCTCGTCGCATTTTATTTTCCTGATTGGTTTTGTCAATTTTGTCAACAAGCCTTGGCTCTTGTCCTCCATGTTGGCCTTGCCGGCCTGCGCGGTGCTCACCTTCGCAGTGGAGGGACCAAGGATCCAACCATCACTTCGGTAAACTGCGCAGGTGGCAAGCGCA